CGTCATAACAGCAGTGTTTTTCAATGAAAATCCCTAATAATATTACGTTTGCACCAATGATTTAAATTGAATTTAAGTCAAATTGCATTTATTTTTACGAATAATCAAGGATATTACTTCGATGACGTCATAACAGAATGTTTTTTTAATTATTATGCCCTAATTATATTACGTTTGCACCAATGACTTAAATTGAATTTGAGTAAAATTGCATTTATTTTTATGAATAATCAAGGATATTACTTCGATGACGTCATAGCAGAATGTGTTTTTTTTTAAATGAAAATGCCCTAAGTGTATGTTCGTTTCTACGAAGAACCGGATGGATTACAGGTGAAATTTGACATTTTGATTTTTTTTTATTGAAAAATAACTGTCAAATTTAACAAACGTCAATGACCGATGAGAATGTAAAAAAAATTGATTTGGGCAATGAAATCATTTTCGACAGCAACAACTGTAAAAATTTGACAGTTGGATGTCAAATGAGGTTGTGATAAAAATTGACACCTGTCAATGTCATTTTGTGTAATTTTTTGACAGTTCAAATATTTCCAACATCTGTCTAAATGATTGAAATATTTTTGACAGCTGTAAATATTTGTCAGTTGGAAGTCAAATGAGATTGTGATAAAAATTGACACCTGTCAATGTCAATTGAGTTTAAATTTTGTGTAATTTTTTGATAATTCAAATATTTCCAACATTAATATATTTGACAGCTATAAAAATTTGACAATTGGATGTCAAATGAGGTTTTGACAAAACTTGACACCTGTCAATGCCAATTAAATTTGAATTTTCTGTGTTTTTTTAGCAATTGAAATATTTTCAACATCTGTCAAAATGATTGAAACAATTTTAACAGCTGTAAAAATACGGTTTTGACAGTTGGATGTCTAATAAAGTTGTAAAAAAAATTGACACCTGTCAAATGCATAAAATTCTGACATTAAAATGTCAATTCAGTTTCCAATTTATGTCATTTTTTGTCGATTGAAATATTTTCTAGATTCTGAAAAAAGTTGACACCTGTCAAATAATAATGATGTCATTTATTGAACTGAATTTTTGTCAATTTTGTTGAATAAAAGGTGTCAAAATTAAATTTCTGAAAACACTGACACCTGTCAAAATGTCATATGATTTGGAAAATGAGATGTCATTTATTGAAATTCAAATTTTTGTCAAATAATTGAAATTTTCGAAAGCTGTCAGAATTGAATTTGTAAAACCTGTCAAAATTTCATATTTTTTTGACAATAAGATGTCAATTAATAAAGTCGTAGATGAAATTTTTTAGGTAACATTTTAAAATTGAATTAGAAAAATAACTCGAAAAATTTAACAGAAATGAAAAGTGACAGCTGTTAAATGTCAAAATTTTTGACAATATAATGTCAATTATTGTTTTCGTAGATATAAATTTTATAGGTGACATTTTGAAATTAAATTAATCAAATAAGCCAAAAAATTTGACAAAATAAAATTGACACCTGTCAAATGTATTACGATTTTGACAATACGATGTTGGTTATTACGATTGTAGATAAAATTTTGTAGCTTACATTTTACAAATTAAATTAAGAAAATAACTCCAAAAGTTTGACAGAAGAAAATTGACACCTGTCATATGTCACGATTTTTGATAATAAAATGTCAATTTTTGCGGTCGTAAATAGAATTTTGTAGGTGTCATTTTGAAATTAAATTGGAAAATTTGATAAAATAAAATTGACAGCTGTCAAAATGTCACGATCTTTGACAGATATTAATTATTGAGGCTTTAGATAAAATGTTTGTTGATTAAAATTGAATTTTTTTTGACAGCAGTCAAAATTGAATTTAGTTAGTGAATTTGCAAAAAAATTGACATCTGTCAAAATGTAATAAGATTTCGACAATAAGATGTTAATTTTATCGAAGCTCCTATATGTGTCAATTTTGTTGATTGCAATTGAAAAATTTTCGGCAGCAGTCAAAATTAAATTTGTAGAAAAATTGACACCTGTCAATGTCAATTGAGTTTAAATTTTGTGTCATTTTTTGAGAATTCAAATATTTCCAAAATTTGTCAAAATAATTGAAATATTTTTTACAGCTATAAAAATTTGTCAGTTGATACCAAATGAGGTTGTAATAAAAATTGACATCTGTCAATGTCAGTTGAGTTTGAATTTTGTATAATTTTTTGAAAATTGAAATATTTTCAACATCTGTCAAAATGAATGAATGAAATATTTTTAACAGCTGTCAAAATACGATTTTGACAGTTGGCTGTCAAATGAAGTTATAACAAAAATTGACACCTCTGTCAAATGCGTATAGTTTTCACATTAAGATGTCAATTTAGTTTCCAATTTGTGTCATTTTTCGTCGATTGAAATATACTCCTGGACAAAATTATCGCACCACTTCACATAAGCAGTGGTGCGATAATTTTGTCCAGGAGTATATTTTCCAAAACTGTCAAAAATTTGCATTTGACAGGTGAAAGGGCGAGCGATGAGCTCCTCAAAAAAAATTGACACCTGTCAAAATATAAATTAACGTTTGTCAAATGTTACGATTTTGACAATAAAATGTCAGTTGAGTTTCAAATTTGTGTCATTTTTGTTAATCAAAATATTTTCGACAGCTGTCAAAATTCGAATTTGGCAGTTGATATAAAGTTGACATCTGTCGAATAATTTCACAATTTTGACAATATGATGTCATTCAAAAAATTTTGTCAATTTTGTTGAATAAAAGGTGTCAAAATTAAATTTGTGAAAACATTGACACCTGTCAAAATGTCATATGATTTTGCAAATGAAATGTCATTTATTGAGATTCAAATTTTTGTCAATTGAAATTTTTGACAGCTGTTAAAATTGTATTTGTTCAATGAATTTATAAAAAAATTGATTGACACCTGTCAAAATTTCATATGATTTTGACAATAAGATGTCAATTATTGAGGTCGTAGATGAAATTTTGTTAATTAAATAGGAAAAATAGTTCATCAAAACATTTGACAGAAATGAAAAATTGACAGCTGTCAAATGTCATAATTTCTGACAATATAATGTCAATTATTAAGATCGTAGATAACATTTTGTAGCTGACATTTTGCAAATTAAAATAAGAAAATAACTCCAAAAAATTTGACAAAAGAAAATTGACACCTGTCATGATTTTTGATAATAAAATATCAATTATTGCGGTCGTAGACAAAATTTTGTAGGTGAAATATTGAAATTAAATTGGAAAGATAACTCAAAAAATTTGACGGCTGTCAAAATGTCACGATCTTTGACAGATTCTAATTATTGGGGCTTTAGAAAAAAATTTTGTTGATTGAAATTGAATTTTTTTTTGACAGCTGTCAAAATTGAATTTATTTAGTGAATTTGTAAGAAAAATGACACCTGTCAAAATGAAATATGATTTTGAAAATAGTATGTTAATTTTATCGAGCTTCCAATATGTGTCAATTTTGTCGACTGAAATTGAAAAATTCTCGGCAGCTGTCAAAATTAAATTTGTAGAAAAATTGACACCTGTCAAATATCATATGATTTTGACAGTAAGATGTCAATAATTGAGCTTGAAGTTTATGTCAATTTTGCTGATTGGAATTGAAAAATTTTCAATAGCTGTCAAAATTCAAAAATAAATAAAGTAGCTACTCTAATTGTTCGGAAATGGCTTTTTAGTGTAAATAGAGTAGTTGGAGTAATTAAAACACACAAATACTTACTCTATTTACTCTGAAAAAAATTAGTGCATTATAAAAGAATCAAATAGAGTTCGCTTGATGGCCTTCCAGAGTTCTCTATTTTCGCTCTAACTGTTCGATTATTTTTTATTTAGCGTAAATATACGAAATAGAGTGATTAAAACTCACTCCAAAGTTTCCAAATTGTGATCTGAAACTTTTAGAGTCTACTGTTTTCAATCTTTTCATGAATCCGAGTCAAATAAACTTACTCTAAAAACAATTAGATTTTACTCCATTTACTCCGAACACAAAATTCGAATTAGCGGGGCATAAAAAAGTCAAAAATTGGATACTCTAAATACTCCGTAGTTACTCCAACTGTCATCAGAGTTGGCCTAATTCGAGTACAGAAGTTCAAAACAGAACTAGGAGCGTCTGTTCGGCTTTTTAACTCCAAGTATTTAGTATTTAGAGTAAATAGAGTAAATATATGCACGTTCGATTACACGGAGTAGAGTAAAAAGTAAGATTTAAGATCCAAAATTTTCAGCATAATTTTTTATGTATTGTTTTAATGCAGATGTTCTGGTGCAATAAAATTGCTTTAATGCAATAAATGCAAAAAAATATTACTCTACTTGCTCCGAATACAATATCCGAACCAGTGGAGTATAAAATAGTTAAAAATTAAAATACTATTAAACTATTAAAAATCGATTTTCAATGTAAAATCGAAACTCCTATTCCAACATATCGATACTATCGAAAGTTTTTTAAAAACCTTTACTCTCGATAAATAGAATTCTATTACAAATTTTCTTGCACTTAGTGCAAAATCAGAACCGTTTTTTTCCGAGTTAGAACAGTTAGTGTAGAATTAGGTAGTTAGTGCAAATCAGGAAGTGTTCTATGTCGAATGACAATCGCATACTTCAAATTTTTATACGATTTTTGTACCGTGACGTCATTAAAATAGAATTCTATTTATCGTGTTCTCAAAAATATATTAGAACAATAAAATCAAAAAATTTCTTGCACTCAGTGCAAAGTCAGAACAGTTTTTTTTTTTGAGTTAGAACAATTTGGTGCAAATAGAGCAATTATTTCAGGACTCATAATAAATAGAATTCTATTGAATCGATAAGTGTGTGAATAGAATCGCGTTTAAATGTCCAAAAATTACAGATTTCTGTAAAAATCCATGTGATTTCAAGTTTTATTTGATAGATGGCGCCACCAGTAAAACTTCAATCTGGAAACGTCGCACTCACTCCTGTCACACCAAAAAGTAAACAACATAACCTCAAAGAAAAAACATGTTTTTATTAAATTTTTAATAATATTAAACATTTTTAAATAATTATTAATTAATTATTAAAATGCAGTTTAGCGAAGACGGTAAATATTTCGCGCAAATTTCCGCCGAAGGGAAATTGAGAATTTGGAATTCCGGTTCGAATTCCTTGGAACAGGAATTCACTCCGGATTATCATTTGACTGCTCCGTTTACCTGTTTACATTTCTGGAATTCCAGGTTTATCGATAATAATAAGGTGAGAATTTCAATTATTTAAATTAAATTAAATTAATTAAAAAATTAGTACAATTAAATAAATAATTTAGGGTTGCTTCTCGTGTTGCCTAATGTTCCCAATTGTACTAGAAAAAATACTGGAATTACCAAAGTTATGTGAAATGACGTCAAATTGTACTAAAATTTTTATAGCTGTAAAAAATATTTCAATTATTTTGACAAATTTTGGAAATATTTGAATTCTCAAAAAATGACACAAAATTTAAACTCAATTGACATTGACAGGTGTCAATTTTTCTACAAATTTAATTTTGACTGCTGCCGAAAATTTTTCAATTGCAATCAACAAAATTGACACATATAGGAGCTTCGATAAAATTAACATCTTATTGTCGAAATCTTATTACATTTTGACAGATGTCAATTTTTTTGCAAATTCACTAACTAAATTCAATTTTGACTGCTGTCAAAAAAAATTCAATTTTAATCAACAAACATTTTATCTAAAGCCTCAATAATTAATATCTGTCAAAGATCGTGACATTTTGACAGCTGTCAATTTTATTTTATCAAATTTTCCAATTTAATTTCAAAATGACACCTACAAAATTCTATTTACGACCGCAAAAATTGACATTTTATTATCAAAAATCGTGACATATGACAGGTGTCAATTTTCTTCTGTCAAACTTTTGGAGTTATTTTCTTAATTTAATTTGTAAAATGTAAGCTACAAAATTTTATCTACAATCGTAATAACCAACATCGTATTGTCAAAATCGTAATACATTTGACAGGTGTCAATTTTATTTTGTCAAATTTTTTGGCTTATTTGATTAATTTAATTTCAAAATGTCACCTATAAAATTTATATCTACGAAAACAATAATTGACATTATATTGTCAAAAATTTTGACATTTAACAGCTGTCACTTTTCATTTCTGTTAAATTTTTCGAGTTATTTTTCTAATTCAATTTTAAAATGTTACCTAAAAAATTTCATCTACGACTTTATTAATTGACATCTTATTGTCAAAAAAATATGAAATTTTGACAGGTTTTACAAATTCAATTTTGACAGCTGTCGAAAATTTCAATTATTTGACAAAAATTTGAATTTCAATAAATGACATCTCATTTTCCAAATCATATGACATTTTGACAGGTGTCAGTGTTTTCAGAAATTTAATTTTGACACCTTTTATTCAACAAAATTGACAAAAATTCAGTTCAATAAATGACATCATTATTATTTGACAGGTGTCAACTTTTTTCAGAATCTCAATGAACATCAACTGTCAAATTCGAATTTTGACAGCTGTCGAAAATATTTCGATCAACAAAAATGACACAAATTTGAAACTCAACTGGTATTTTATTGTCGAAATCGTAACATTTGATAAATGTTAATTTATATTTTGACAGGTGTCAATTTTTTACACAAGCTCATTGCTCGCCCATCCATCTGTCAAATACAAATTTTGACAGCTTTAGAAAATATTTCAATCGACAAAAAATGACATAAATTGGAAACTGAATTGACATTTTAATGTCAGAATTTTATGCATTTGACAGGTGTCAATTTTTTTTACAACTTTATTAGACATCCAACTGTCAAAACCGTATTTTTACAGCTGTTAAAATTGTTTCAATCATTTTGACAGATGTTGAAAATATTTCAATTGCTAAAAAAACACAGAAAATTCAAATTTAATTGGCATTGACAGGTGTCAAGTTTTGTCAAAACCTCATTTGACATCCAATTGTCAAATTTTTATAGCTGTCAAATATATTAATGTTGGAAATATTTGAATTATCAAAAAATTACACAAAATTTAAACTCAATTGACATTGACAGGTGTCAATTTTTATCACAATCTCATTTGACTTCCAACTGACAAATATTTACAGCTGTCAAAAATATTTCAATCATTTAGACAGATGTTGGAAATATTTGAACTGTCAAAAAATTACACAAAATGACATTGACAGGTGTCAATTTTTATCACAACCTCATTTGACATCCAACTGTCAAATTTTTACAGTTGTTGCTGTCGAAAATGATTTCATTGCCCAAATCAATTTTTTTTACATTCTCATCGGTCATTGACGTTTGTTAAATTTGACAGTTATTTTTCAATAAAAAAAAATCAAAATGTCAAATTTCACCTGTAATCCATCCGGTTCTTCGTAGAAACGAACATACACTTAGGGCATTTTCATTTAAAAAAAACCACATTCTGCTATGACGTCATCGAAGTAATATCCTTGATTATTCATAAAAATAAATGCAATTTTACTCAAATTCAATTTAAGTCATTGGTGCAAACGTAATATAATTAGGGCATTATAATTAAAAAAACATTCTGTTATGACGTCATCGAAGTAATATCCTTGATTATTAGTAGGAAATCATTCATTGTACTTAATTTTAGTACATTGTACTAAAATTAAGTACAATGAATGATTTCCTACTACAATTTTTATGTATGAAAATTTTGACCTGATTTCGCAGATTGTACTAGATTTAGTACATTTATAGGATTTGTTAGTACAATTTTTATTTATAAAAATTTTGACATACTTTATGGCCGTTTGCACTGACCATTTTAAGGGAGGTTTAAGGATAATCCAAGATTAAAATGCCATATTTGCATGTGTAAAAATGTCACTTTGAACGTTGATTATCGTTAAACCTTCCTTAAAATGGTCGGTGCAAATGGCCATTAGAAAATTGTACTAAATTTATATTACAATTTTTTTGGAACGTTCCAGAATTTTTTAAAAACAATTCAATTTTTTTTAATGAGTTTTCAATCTGTTTCAACGACATTTAAGAATTTTTAACATTCGACGATTTTTTTTGAAACTTTCTAGAACTTACAAAATTTTTTGGAACAATCTATTTTTTTTCCAATATGTTTTCAATCTGTTCCAACAAATTCTGAGAAGTTTAAGGAACATTTTAGAATTTTTTTGGAACGTTCCAGAATTTTTTGAAACAATTCAATCTGTTCCAACGACTTCTAATAATTTTTAAGAACATTCGAGGATATTTTGGAACTTTTTAAAACGTTCCAAAATTTTTTGGAACAATCTAATTTTTTTCTAACATGTTTTTATCTGTTTCAACGAATTTTGAGTATTTTTAGGAACATTCCAGAATATATTAGAATTTTTTTGGAACGTTCCAGAATTTTTTAAAACAATTCAATTTTTTTTTCAATGAGTTTTCAATGTGTTCCAACGACTTTTAGAAATTTTTAACGACATTCGGGAATTTTTTGGAACTTTCTAGAACGTTCCAAAATTTTTTGGAACAATCTAATTTTTTTCTAACATGTTTTTATCTGTTTCAACGAGTTTTGAGTATTTTTAGGAACATTCCAGAATATATTAGAATTTTTTTGGAACGTTCCAGAATTTTTTAAAACAATTCAAATTTTTTTTCAATGAGTTTTCAATGTGTTCCAACGACTTTTAGAAATTTTTAACGACATACGGGAATTTTTTGGAACTTTCTAGAACGTTCCAAAATTTTTTGGAACAATCTAATTTTTTTCTAACATGTTTTTATCTGTTTCAACGAATTTTGAGTATTTTTAGGAACATTCCAGAATATATTAGAATTTTTTTGGAACGTTCCAGAATTTTTTAAAACAATTCAAATTTTTTTTCAATGAGTTTTCAATGTGTTCCAACGACTTTTAGAAATTTTTAACGACATTCGGGAATTTTTTGGAACTTTCTAGAACGTTCCAAAATTTTTTGGAACAATCTAATTTTTTTCTAACATGTTTTTATCTGTTTCAACGAATTTTGAGTATTTTTAGGAACATTCCAGAATATATTAGAATTTTTTTGGAACGTTCCAGAATTTTTTAATACAATTCAAATTTTTTTTCAATGAGTTTTCAATGTGTTCCAACGACTTTTAGAAATTTTTAACGACATTCGGGAATTTTTTGGAACTTTCTAGAACGTTCCAAAATTTTTTGGAACAATCTAATTTTTTTCTAACATGTTTTTATCTGTTTCAACGAATTTTGAGTATTTTTAGGAACATTCCAGAATATATTAGAATTTTTTTGGAACGTTCCAGAATTTTTTAAAACAATTCAATTTTTTTTTCAATGAGTTTTCAATGTGTTCCAACGACTATTAGAAATTTTTAACGACATTCGGGAATTTTTTAAAACTTTCTAGAACGTTCCAAAATTTTTTGGAACAATCTAATTTTTTTCTAACATGTTTTTATCTGTTTCAACGAGTTTTGAGTATTTTTAGGAACATTCCAGAATATATTAGAATTTTTTTGGAACGTTCCAGAATTTTTTAAAACAATTCAAATTTTTTTTCAATGAGTTTTCAATGTGTTCCAACAACTTTTAGGAATTTTTAACGACATTCGCGAATTTTTTGGAACTTTCTAGAACGTTCCAAAATTTTTTGGAACAATCTAATTTTTTTCTAACATGTTTTTATCTGTTTCAACGAGTTTTGAGTATTTTTAGGAACATTCCAGAATATATTAGAATTTTTTTGGAACGTTCCAGAATTTTTTAAAACAATTCAAATTTTTTTTCAATGAGTTTTCAATGTGTTCCAACGACTTTTAGAAATTTTTAACGACATTCGGGAATTTTTTGGAACTTTCTAGAACGTTCCAAAATTTTTTGGAACAATCTAATTTTTTTCTAACATGTTTTTATCTGTTTCAACGAATTTTGAGTATTTTTAGGAACATTCCAGAATATATTAGAATTTTTTTGGAACGTTCCAGAATTTTTTAAAACAATTCAAATTTTTTTTCAATGAGTTTTCAATGTGTTCCAACGACTTTTAGAAATTTTTAACGACATTCGGGAATTTTTTGGAACTTTCTAGAACGTTCCAAAATTTTTTGGAACAATCTAATTTTTTTCTAACATGTTTTTATCTGTTTCAACGAATTTTGAGTATTTTTAGGAACATTCCAGAATATATTAGAATTTTTTTGGAACGTTCCAGAATTTTTT